AGGGAGACCCGCCAGGCTCGCGTGGCCGGGGCTGAAGAGGCGGCAGTGCCGATGGTGAGGCAGCCGGCCCCAGAGTCTCACTTCTGAGTCACGGGGGAGTGGGCTCTTTTTGCCGTAGCGGCGGAAAGTCTGCTTTGCGCATTTTTTTGCTTCGGCCAGTTTTGGGGTCTTTCCTCCAGCCCCTGCCCCCGCCCCTACCACCACCCTGTCTGTGATTTGCTTTTAGATGTGGAGATTCTTGGGACCCAGGTGAAACTGGAGAGAAGGGGAGGGTATTAGAATTCGGGTGCAACCCCCTGCCTCTCACGCCATGCCAGCAAGCAGTAGCAAACGGGCGCCCTGCCCTCCTGAAGCCACTGTCCCAAGGGCCAGGCGGGTATAATCAGTCACACCTGTCGAGCATAATTACCGTGACGAGAAGTAACCATCCACCTCCCGGTGACGAGATCATTAAGCAAGCTCTAATGTAATCAGGGAGGCTTCCTGGGGGTGGTGAGGAGAGGATGCGACCTTGTACGGTTGGAAGGTGGTGGGAAGGTCCTTAGAGGCTCACACCAAGGAGAGACCCTGAACAGGAAGCCCGGTGTGTCTGGGCTGCAGGGAGCTAGAGGGAGTCTTGCCGGAGACGAGGCTGGAGACCCCGAGAGCCTGGGGGACACGGGGCAGATCTGGACTTTCTCCTAAGGTCCCTGGGAGGGCATCTGGGAGAAACGGGCCGGCTCAGCGTGGAGCTCGGCAGACGCTTCCTGAGCCAGCACGAACACCCCATGTACTGTGGGGAGATGGCACCTGTCCCTCAGCGCAGGGACTGCAACCACCCCTCCTGGTGGCCTCCACCTTTACCTGCAGCGAGTGAGTCAGAACCGTGAGCCCTGGGCGATGCTCGGGCTTGATGCTGGGATCCCTTCCTGGGACTAAGGATGTTTTTTCCAAAAGACAGAGAGGGTTCAGAGGAGGGAGCAGCCACTGGCGTAACTCCGGCTGCCGTCCACAGGAGCATGGCCCAGGACCTGTGGTTTTCTCTGTCACCAGCATCGAGGGCAGGAGGGTGTCAGGCTGCCCGGCCAGGCTCCCAGCATCTCTGCAGTCAGCCTGCTGATTCCCGTCAGAAACAACCGTTTTGCTTTGTTGGTGTGTAGGGTCGTAAGTCTGAGAAGAGTCCATTCCCCCGGCATGAGAACCACCCCTCGGGGGAGACGGCGGGAGGCCTCACTGGGCGCTGAGGTCAGGGACATGGACTTGACATCGCAGCAGCAAATCCAGTCTCTGCTCGGTTCCATCTGGGCAGGAGCAAACACCACCGGGACGCCCTGTCCCTACTGAGGTTGGGGTAGGGGCCCTGGGGCAGGACCAGCCCTAGACAGCACTCCACCCTGGCCACAGTGGTTCACGCAACAGGCTAGGGGTCATGAAGGCGGGCCTGGCAGCTCCTAGCCACTGCTGCCACTGTCCTCCCTGCACCTGAGGCAGGGGCTGTGCATGGGGACCACCACGCTGGCCCACTGGGCCCAGACTCGAGCTCAGAACCTTCCTGGACTCAGTGTTCCCGGCGCACTAGCCAACTGGTGTGGGGAAAGAAATAACACAATTTAACCTCCCCACGCTAAAGTCCTCCGCTCTCACCTCTGGGGCCTCGAGTTCTATGACTGTGGGCAGGGACTGTGGGCACTGCGTCCATGTCTGGTAAACAAAGGAAGGGAGGAGAACCCTCTAGTCTCTGTGCAGTAGGCGGCATTCTAGGAGGGGCCCCAGGGTTGCACACAGAACATGCAGACGGGGGGCCGTGCCCAGGAAGGACGGGGCAGGGCTCATGGGCACAAGCTCAGAGGCAGTCCCTGTCCAGCAGGCTCTGGGCCTTGGGCAGGTCAGTTACCCTCTCTGACCCTCAGCCTCCCCTGTGCCACCCACATCACAGGGCTGTCATGGAGATGAATGGCAACATTCTGTGACATTTACAAAGTGCCAGGAGCCAGCAGTTGGCGTGGTGGTTAAGGTGCTGGATTCCCACATGGCCAACCACAGTTTGAGCTCCCGACCCGGTAGCTTGAAAATCACGCCAGGCACATGTGCATGCATGACCAAATTTCCAAAAGGATGGAGGAGGAGGATTTGTGGCCCTCCCCCAGGGGGAATTTCTCACTCTCCCTCTCACTGTCTCTCTCTCTTTGGTGAGCACATGCGCCCTATGGCAAAAACCTTTTAAAAAGTTTTTTTTAATTAAAAAGTGCCCTGCCCGTGGAAGGGGCGACAATGATAAAAGTTCCACTGTGCCGGCTGACGTCACTTGCCTAAAACTTCAGCTCACGGCAGGATCCCCCGTAAGTCCCACCAAGAGTCCCATGGTTGGTGGCATGGTCAGTGGTGACAGCCAAGCAGAGGCGTGGCTTGTGTGGGTGTCCGGCCAGATGTGCTGTGAAAGTGGGCGCAGAGAGCGGGGTCACACAGCAGGTGTGAGGCCCTCGTCCTGACGCCACGACTGCCCCACTGTGGGCCGTGGACAGCCCTCTCAGCCTCTCTGCTGCTGTCCAAGTGCGTCTGCTGGGCATGCGTGGTGCTCATTCTCCTGAGGTCCTGGAGCATAAACGGTGGGGGGGGTGAGGACGCCCAGAAACCCGAAGTCCCCGTGGATATGAGTGGGGATTTCCTGTGACTTGCTCAGAGGAGCAGAGTGCCTCAACCCAGACCTGTGACTTAGGCGAGCAGGGAGGAGTGGACCAGGTGACAGGGCTCTGGGCTGTTGGCCTCAGCTGCCCCGGCCAAAGCGGTGGCCCTGCAGAAGGCAGACAGCTTTGTCAGCGGGTGGAGAGGAAGCGGTCTGTCAGCCAAGCCGAAGCCCTGGCCACGCAGACCCCAGGCTTGGGCAGGAAGTGGGAGTCAGGCTCCTGGCTCTTAGCAGGTAGAGATGAGAAAAGGGAGAAGGGGGACCAGCAGTTCGCGTAATGGCTATGTCGCTGCACTCTCATGTAGTCAACTGCAGTTCGAGTCCTGGACCCGGTGGCCTAAACTCACGCCGGGCGCATGTGCGTGCGTGCCCAAGATCCCGAGAGGAGAATGGAGGAGAACAGATTGTGGCGTGGCTATCCCCCCAGGGGCTGATTTCTCGCTTTCTGTCTCTCTGTCTCTCTCTGTCTTTCTGGCAAGCGCACGTGCCCTGTAGCAAAAAAAAAAAAAAAAAAAAAAAAAATGAAAGAAAGAAAGAAAGAAAAGAAAAGGGAAAAGGAAAGGAAGAAGGAAGAGGAGGAAGAAGGGGGAGAGGAGACAGAAGCCTGGAAAAGCAGGTTGGGGGGGGAGGGAGGGAGGAGGGAGGGAGATGTCTCCCACTCTGAGGCCAGGAGTTCTCTGGGTGAGGACCAGGTCTCCCTACGAGTAGGCTGTATGCCTCCCTCATCAGTTCATGGGCTCTCCCAGGGCAGGGCTGTGGCCGTCCAGCAGGGGCCCTCGGACACAGGTGACCCACGGGTGGGTCCCACAAACCTGTGCCTGATGCCCGTAGCTCTGCCTGACCCCCTCTTCTCTCCTCTCCCCACCCCAGGCTTCACGGACACCTTCAACATGGACACCAGGAAGCCCCGTGTCATCGCTGGCCCCAGGACCGCCTTCTTTGGCTACACGGTGCAGCAGCATGACATCAGCGGCCAGAAGTGGTGAGTGCTGCCCCAGCCCTGCCACCCACGCACTCCCTCCAGCCGCTACCCTGCGGCCCTCACACAGAGCCCCTGCCATTGCCAGGTCCCTGCAGGTCAGAGGCTGGTGGGGTCTGCCCCTGCTATGAGCTCATCTGAGAAGTGGGTATGACTGACCTGCCTCTCTACGTGGATGGGCCGGAGCAGGGAGCAGCGCTGGCGACCGCTAGCCAGGCCCCTCGGCCAGCGTCTCACAGAGGGCAGCACCCCTGCTCCTGTCTGTGGGGGAGCCGCTGGGGACTCAGGGCCCAGTGAGCATGCTCCAAGGGGAAGCTGGCAAAGCTCCCCAGGTGCCTCCAGCCGTGGCAGTCTGTTTACTGCAGCTTCTCCTACCCTGTAATTCGCTCATCCCAAGTGTGCAAATGGGTGACTACATCTACTGAGTTGCCGTGCCGTGTAGTCACCACCCATCGGCTTCAGTCGACCGTCAGCGCCGAACCGAGCCTGGTGCCCTCCACTGTCCCCCCTTCTCCCAGCTGCTTAACGAACGGGAGGCAAGGCCTTGCTTCCTCTGGCGGGCTCTTCCGGAAGTCCGCGTGGAGTCCGGGGGCTGCAGGACCGCCAGCACCACTGTCCTCCCCTGCCTCCTTCCGTCCAGCCCTCTACCCCGGCTCCCTCGCCCATTTCCCGTGCTCAGCTCCGGCCGACCGCATATCACAGTTTCCAGCTGCCGCTCTTCCCCCCGCCGTGCCCTCCCCACCCCACCCTCAGGTCTGGCGAATGTCCTCACAGTCCTTTGGTGCGCGTTTTCTAAGGAGCGTCTGGCTGTCTTGTTAACGCTGCCTATAGCATGATTGGCCTCAGTGTACACGCCCATACCTATCACCATCCAAGCAGGACAGAGAACATTGCCAGCTTCCCAGAGGGCCCCCTTGCACTCGTCCCCACCCCACTCCCGGGCGTGCCCCTCCAGGTAACCACTCCTATCACCATAGATTCCTTTCACCTGTTCTGAACGTCATATGCATATACCACAGGGATTCATCCTGGGATGGTGTGGTATTCAGCACTGTTTCTGGGAGGTTTAACATGAGGTTGAATGTATCACACTTCCTGCTTTTTCACTGATGTGTAGTATTCCGTTGCGTTGACATGCCACAATTTATTTATTCCCTCTCGATGGATATTTGGATTGTTTCCGTTGCTGGCTACTTGAACTAGAGCTGCTATCAACATTCCTGTACATGTCATTTAATGGACACACATATTCATGTTTACTGGATATAAACTCAGACGTACAATCGCTAGGTTAAAGGGCAGGTATTTGTTTAACTAAATCTGCCCGGTGGTTTCCAAAGTGGTTTGCCAATTGAAACTCACTGTAGTAAAATAAGAGTGTTCCAGTTGTTCCACCTTCTCGCTGACGCGTGCTATTGCCAGTTGTTTTAGTTTCAGCCATCGGGGTGGTGTGTGGTGGTGTCTCACTGTGGGTGTAACTTGCATTTCTCTATTTACCGATGATATTGAGCAACTCTTCATAAATGGATTGGCTGTTTTGATATTCCTCTTTTCAGAGTGTCTGATTAGGCTTTTTTTGCCCATTTTTAAATTCTTCCATGCATCATTTTCTTATTGATTTATCGTACTTTTAAAAGTGTATTCTGGAAGTTCGCAGGTGGCATGGTGGTTAAGGTTCTGGGTTCCCGCATGGCTGGCCACAGTTCAAGTCCCAGATCTGGTAGCTTGCTTTCTCACTTTCTCTCTCTCTGGTGAGTGCACATGCTCTATGGCAAATTTAAAATATAATAATAAATAAAATGGAATTAATGATTCTTTTTTAAAAAACGTATTCTGTATACAAATCCTGTGTCAGATAGAAGTATCATCAATGTGACTTTCTTACCTGTGGCTTGCCTTTTCATTCCCTTCATGGTATATTTCGATGAACACAAGTCTTTAGCCAGAATAAAGCCTGATTTAGCAATCTTTTTTATGCTTAGTTGTGTCTTGTGTGTTTCATTTGAGAAATCTTGCCTCTCTCCAAATCAGGAAGCTATTCTCCTCTGCTGTCTTCTGCAATGTAGACTCTGTTTTGTTTTGTTTTTTTTTTTTTTTTTCCTTGTCTCATTTTGTTTTTCTATATAAAAAAAAGAAACCCAATATCAAGATAATGAAGAGAAAAAGGAACATACCCCTTAGTGTAGAGAAATGGCAGGTGGGTGGAGGGGTGGAGGTAGGAAAAGGGTAAGCCTTGAAAGAAGGAGTGGGAAGGGAATGTCGTTAAGGCAGCAAGATATCCTCTGTAAAATGAGGGGTCTCTACAACCTTAGAGATGAAGTGATGTTCTTTTCAATTCCTCTTATTGGTAATGTGTTGCCTCGTTCGCTCTTGATCAGCCTCACTATGGGTATATCAATTGTATTAATGTTTTATAAGAATCAACTTTGGGGAACCAGCAGTTAGCATAATGGCTATGTCACTGGACTCCCACGTAGTCAACCGCAGTTCGCGTCCCGGACCCGGTGGCTTAAAACTCATGCCAGGCGCGTGTGCGTGCGTGCCCAAGATCCCGAGAGGAGAATGGAGGAGAAGGGACTGCGGCGTGACCATCCCCCCGGGGGGTGATTTCTCTCTTTCTGTCTCTCTATCTCTCTCTCTCTGTCTGGCGAGTGCACGCACCCTATAGCGAAAACCTCTCCAAAAAAAAAAAAAAGAAAGAAAAAAAAAAAGAATCAACTTTGGGCTTTATTGATTTTATCTATTAAACCTGTTTTCTCTTCCATTGGCTTTTACATTATTTTAATTATTTATCATCTTTTTTACTAGGTCTTTGGGAAAGTCATGGTGTGTTTTTCTATGTGAAAATGTGTCATGACTTTCCTGATGACCCAATATTTAATTTGGTGTTTAGCTTTGTATTTAAATTATTGATTTTCTTAACTTTCTTCTTTCCTAATAGATATATAAGGCTAGACATTCTGTCTCTATGTTGCCTTAGTTGCTTCCCACAGATCTTGATGTTTTCTTTATCATTCAGGTTAAAATCTTTTTTTTCTTTTTTTTTTTTATTGGTGGCCGTGTTTTATTTGTCTTTTTTCTTCAAGCAGGATAACAATGATACAGACAGTATTTAATAAAATATAAGATAAAACAAATTCTAAGACTTCAATGCCACATGCTACATTTAACCTAATGTTATTTGTGCTTGCACTGCGATGGGGAAGAGATCATTCAGTAAAAACATGCAGTAAAAACAAAGTAGATCTTAGCATGTACAACCTTACCTTAATTACTTCCATGCACACAAATCTAACTTCACAGGTTTTGTTTTTAAGAAATAAACACAATCATAACTTCTAGGAGCATTTTATAATAATTTCTCATTTTTCTTTGTGGACAGATCAAGCACCTCCAAAATATAAATTCCTATACACAGTGAGCACTTTACTTAAAATGAATACTTAAGGGAACCAGCAGTTAGCGTAATGGCTGTGTCACTGAACTCCCACGTAGTCGACCGCCGTTCGCGTCCCGGACCCGGTGGCTTAAAACTCACCCCGCGCGCGGAAAAAAAAAAGAAAGAAAAAAAAAAAGAATCAACTTTGGGCTTTATTGATTTTATCTATTAAACCTGTTTTCTCTTCCATTGGCTTTTACATTATTTTAATTATTTATCATCTTTTTTACTAGGTCTTTGGGAAAGTCATGGTGTGTTTTTCTATGTGAAAATGTGTCATGACTTTCCTGATGACCCAATATTTAATTTGGTGTTTAGCTTTGTATTTAAATTATTGATTTTCTTAACTTTCTTCTTTCCTAATAGATATATAAGGCTAGACATTCTGTCTCTATGTTGCCTTAGTTGCTTCCCACAGATCTTGATGTTTTCTTTATCATTCAGGTTAAAATCTTTTTTTTCTTTTTTTTTTTTATTGGTGGCCGTGTTTTATTTGTCTTTTTTCTTCAAGCAGGATAACAATGATACAGACAGTATTTAATAAAATATAAGATAAAACAAATTCTAAGACTTCAATGCCACATGCTACATTTAACCTAATGTTATTTGTGCTTGCACTGCGATGGGGAAGAGATCATTCAGTAAAAACATGCAGTAAAAACAAAGTAGATCTTAGCATGTACAACCTTACCTTAATTACTTCCATGCACACAAATCTAACTTCACAGGTTTTGTTTTTAAGAAATAAACACAATCATAACTTCTAGGAGCATTTTATAATAATTTCTCATTTTTCTTTGTGGACAGATCAAGCACCTCCAAAATATAAATTCCTATACACAGTGAGCACTTTACTTAAAATGAATACTTAAGGGAACCAGCAGTTAGCGTAATGGCTGTGTCACTGAACTCCCACGTAGTCGACCGCCGTTCGCGTCCCGGACCCGGTGGCTTAAAACTCACGCCGGGCGCGTGTGCGTGCGTGCCCAAGATCCCGAGAGGAGAATGGAGGAGAAGGGATTGCGGTGTGGCCATCCCCCCTGGGGGGTGATTTCTCGCTTTCTGTCTCTCTGTCTCTCTCTGTCCTTCTGGTGAGCACACGCGCCCTATAGTGAAAACCTCTCAAAAAATATATATATACTTAAGGAAATTAAGTACGTGGACAACCTTAGGATGAGCTGACATCTTACATTCAGCTAGGCAGGCAACAAACCGTAGGGCCAAATGGAAAAAGTGTATTTGCAAATAAAATTTAGCAACTAAGTAAACTTTTATCATGAAATACAGGAAATATACTGCTTGGCTAACATAAATAAGATGTGCTGTATTAACACTTCACTGTAAAGAATACATATCAGGGACATTTATAAACTGTGAATGGGTCGCATATAAGGAGAGTTGACTACAATAGACGCCGGCTACATAGAAGTGCGCACCGGGAAGCACTATGGGTGGTCTATGTTCTGCCACATACTTCTGTTACCTTGAGGTAGGTAACACACGTGTACCAAATCCGGCATTCATTTTTCAGTTGCTGCTGGTATCATGTGTTTTAAGAAAGGTG